TGTAGGAAGAGGTACAGATGGATGACAAAGGAGCATTAAAGAAAATACATATTTTCAAATACACCGGGCAAAAGGGGAAGCTTAGACAGGATTTCTGCCCATTGTACATGGCGGATGAAAGCAAATGATGGGAGACTTCCCTGGTGGTGCAGTGCTTAAGAATCTGCCTGCCAATGCAGGAGACACAGGTTCCAGCCCTGGTCTGGGAAGATCCCACGTGCCGCAGAGCAACTAAACCCGTGCGCCACAACTATTGAGCCCACATGCCACAACTACTGAAGCCTGGGCACCTAGATCCCGTGCTCCGCAACAAGAGAAGCCACTGCAGTGGGAAGCCCACGCACTGCAAGGAAGAGTAGCCCCCGCTCGCTGCAACTAGAGAAAGCCCGCACGCAGCAACGAAGACCCAATGCAGCCAAAAATAAATAAATAAAATAAGTAAATTTATTAAAAAAAAAAAAAAAAAGCAAATGATGGAAGACGTTGGCAAGGTAGGGGTTTTTAAGTAATGCTTTTATTCTTTGTCATTGTAGTATGAATTAAATATGGATATATCATTGGAATAAGTCCCAGTCTTGATGAAAGGCTGTAAAGCTAAATTAAAATAAAGAAGTAGGTCAAAGGTCACTAGGAAAGCATGTCTGTTTCTTTCAGTAAGGCTTTCTGGAGTGTTGCCCACAGAATTGAAAAGTGCTTTTTCAGATCCATTCGGTGTTTTTGAGAAATCCTGGAGCAGTGTTTTCAAAGTGTGATTGTGGAACACCTGAGGTTCTTGAGACCCCTTCAGGGGTCTGGGAGATCAGAACTATTTTCATAATAACACCGAGATGTTACTGGCCTTTTTCATTCTCATTCTCTCCTGAGAATACAGTAGAGTTTCCCAGAAACTACATGACTTACAATATCTCAGAAGAGTAAATGCAGAGGCAGATGTGAGAATCCAGATGTTTTCTATTAAGCCAGACATTAAAGACAGTTTCAAAAATGTAAAACAATGCTACTTATCTCACTTGGTTTGGAAAACATAGGGCTTCCCCCCTGCCCCAAATGTTATTTAAGATATTTATTCTTCTTATTCATAAATTAATTAGAGTTTACATTTTTTTTGGTTTTAATATCTAATAGTGTCCATATCAGTGGATATAATCTATCTCAAAAACACTCTGGAAGCAAGCCCTTGAAAATTTTTAAGTGTGTAAAGGAGTTCTGAGACCAAAGGTTTAAGAACGACTGTCCCTAGAGGATAAGTAATTTCTCTGAACCTTAGAAGAGGGCAAAGGTGACCTTATTAAACTATGGGAGTGGCAGTTATCTGTAGTTAGCAGTTACACAAATGTTAGCAATGATGCTAACTTGAGTGCCTTCTTCTTGGTTACCTCTGAGACACTTTAATAGGAATTCTTATTTGATAACTCACAGCAAACAAAGCAGTCAAGGCTGTTGGCATTCTTTCCATTTTATAGATAGGAAAATGTTAGAATCAGAGAAGTGATTTTCCAAGGATCATGAAAAAAAGTTGAGCTGGAACCATTTGGTACTTATGAATCCTAGTCCTATATGTTTTCCTGTTGTTTCACTGACTGCATTGGTGCTAGGACGAATCAAGAAATTTTCTTCTAGTGGACCACAGCATGGTGCATGGCAAACTCTTAACTTCTTGTGGAGGACAGCTTGTGTCAGATCACTTTAAGATCCTATACGACAAAAAAAATAACAGGTATCACTAACACCCTGATGATACCAGTACATTTGAAATTCACTGGCCAGGGGAAAAAAATATTACAGAAAAATGGGATAAAATATACCTGGGGAAAATATAAGGAAACAAAACTCCAGTTTTTATCAACACAGCACGAGGACGTGTCAGCAAGATAACACACCATGAAGGCCCATGGGGAGTCTGTAAAGTTGAGTATTTGCTGGTGATGCTATAGTGCCCATGGGAAAAAAGCCCAAGTGATAATACTGTGATGTATTAGAGCAAGACTTGTACAGTAGACTAGGAAAGATCTTCTCTTAGAGGACAGTGTCTAGTACTGTAGTTATAGTTGTAAAAGGTGAGAAATGGGGGAGTTTTGGAAGAGTGGTCATGGATGTTTAGCACATGGGATTCTGGATGGGGAGTGAGGAAAAGCGAACAGAGAACCATCATTTGCTGGTAAGTCAGGCGGAGGTAATTAGTAGTTGCCTGTGGGGCAAAGCGTGTATTTCTCTGATTTGAGCACCATGTGTTGCCTGGGATCTTTTGGAAATACAGAATATTTCTGCTGCATACTTCATTATGTCTAGCAGATGTTGCTTTTATGTTTTTGAGCCCAATTTGCAGAATGAACATGGTGTCGTAAAACATACTCCTAAAAACAGAAGAGAGGAGACTAGTTAACTGGCCTCTTAACAGGACAGTTTTAAGAAGGGCCAGACTTTTAGCCGTGGCCTGTCTGGATTACAAAAGTGAGACTATTCTAAGAAGAAAAGCAGTGTCATGACATGTTTATTGATGTAAACTGTGAATAACGAATGTTCAGTCACATTTTTAGAGAAAATATAAACCATTCGGCAGCTGACTAAGGAGGGGACTGTCACTGGACGGTTGCCTCCTACCTACACTCCATCCTCTAATATTTAAAAAAATTGTTTTCTTGCAACATTTGCCAGTGATCAAAAAAAAGAAAAAAAAATCCTCCTTTTCATGACTCAGTGTCTTCAGGTTGTTACAACAAACCTGTTCAGCTTTTGAATCTTATTAAAGTCAAAATATTGAGTCGATTCATCAGCACTAAGCGATTAGATTTTCGCTTTATGCGTGTTTTGAAAGCAGGGCTTGCTATAGAAGGTATATTTACATAACAACACTGTTGCTCAATGCCCTTGCATTTTTCTGCATATGCTCTTATCTTAATGGAAATTTACTGGAAAATTCTTGCCAGAATAAACACATTCCTTCAGGAGTGAAAGGCTTAATGTACTTTTCGTTCAACGGCACCACTTTCCTGTGAGCAGATAAACCAAATTATTTGGCATTAGTCATTATACTTCACACATTCCACAGTTCTCATCATGATCTCCCGTGGGGCTAAGGGTTGTCGAAAATAGCAATAAAGTAGACCATCTTACATTATAATGAGAGGTAAAACAAAAGCAAGGAAGGGCGTCTATATATTTGACATGAAATAAACCAAAAATGAATCCGGCAAACACTGTAAATTAGCTTTAGCTATCCTGATAAAGCAGGATTAAGGAATATGAACCAGAGATCAGTTGAGCTGGTGATCACAGAAATAAAAAATATAATTTACTTTTCATTTTTAAGAGAAAAGAGAGCTTTCTCATTCACATTGTAATTTAAGAATCAGGAGTGTAAACCCTAACCTGAGAACACCGATGGTAGTATCATGGCCACAGGGTGGGATACAAGGATGTAAACAGGAGTTGGGGCAGGGAGGGAGGAAGTGTCCTTTGAATTAAGGGATGGGGGGCGGCAAACAATGGACAATGGAGGCTGGAGGAAAGAGATTCACACAAACATGTCTAGACTTCCTCCTGTTGGCCCTCATTCTAACGCCCACCCATCACCAGGCCAGGGTTGCTGCTGGGGTGAGATTATAGGGATTGTTCCATCATTCATGCAACCAGCATTAATAAAGTATGTAATCAAGGCAGAGAGAACCATCTTTAAAGGGATAAAACTGGCCGATTAGCGCATTACAGTTAAGTAGTCAGTTATATTGCATTTATTTGCAGCAATAGGTAATTAAGTTCTTTGACTTTTACTAAGTCAGTTGGAATTAAACTGCTGGGTAGATTCGACCAGAGTTTAGTGACTTTCTTCCTTATGCTGTATTAAATCCTACTATTTTAAATAACTATGGGAAAGTCCAGTTTAAATGTGAAAATGTTCACACACTATTAAAGAATTTTGTTTTGTTGCATTTCTTTTTATTTTCTCTATGTGCAGTAAGTAAAACCAGTCTAGCGGAGTATTACTTCCTAATGTCTTCTTGGGAGATAAAAAAGCAATTTGATATTAGAATAACAAAACACTCATTCACCAGTTATTGTCTCCACTCAAATTGTATTTCTGAAAAATTATTGACTATAAAGGGGAAAAACCATAGCTGAAAAATTTCCTTCTTCAAGTAATAAGGCTTTTCCCTCTCTATCTCAATATAAACAATAATGAAGCAATTTAATATTTCCATTCTATATGGGTTTTTTTTTATTATTAGGCCCTTTAATTCAATGTTAGTAGTAGGTAGGATACGACTTATAAAGAAAAAAATATAGTTGAAGTCATTAAAAAATTTATTCACTTATCCTTTTCTACATAGATTATATTTAACCAAATGTTTACAAGGTAATTCCTAACTACTTATTCAGAATTGCCAATAAATATATTTTTTACCATGTTTTAAAATATATGTAAGTAATACGTACATTTATAAGTGTAAATATTAAAAGTTGCTTTCTAAAATAGAGTGTAACAGCAAACTTAATATACCATCCTTCTATTTCATGTTTTGGTTCCAAAAAACAAAATGAAAATTCAAATGGTACCTTATTCATTGATTGTGGATATTTGCTATGTAAGGGTTGATTGAGTTTGATTTTTAGGTATCAGTGATAAATATGAAATACTGTGTAAAATTCAGTCCCAATTTAATTAATCTCTAATCAAGATTTAACCTGTTGCTTTCTAAGAACAAATTTTCAGGTTTAAAGAAGGCCTTAAAATAATTTAAGTGAAATGGAGATGGAAAAATATTTATCACATTGCTGTTTGTTCTTTACCATGCTTTTCCATAGAGGATAAAACTGTTCATTCTACACGCGTATCACAATCAGTAGCCTCTCAAGGTAAACAGTTTCAAAATACACATCTCTTTGGTTTTGTTAAGGAGAACTTGAGTTTGCAAATTCTCCAGCTCAGTACTATGATATTTTAGAAATTGTACCACTTCTTCATGTACTAAGATGAACCGTGTTTTCTTTTGAATTTATAGTCGCAGATATGGCCAGTATACTATGAACCAGGAAATCACCAAAGTTACAGAAAGACCTCCATTTGATCGATCAAGTTCCCAGGATTCTTTGGATGAACTGTCTATGGAAGATTATTGGACCGAACTAGAAAATATCAAGAAATCCAGTGAGGACAGACAAGAAGATCAAGAGGTGGTGGTTGTCAAAGAGCCTGATGGTAATAATGAAATTAATAAAACTTTTTTCTCTTTTTTTCTTTTTCTCTCTCTCTCTCTTTTAATATGTATTGATGGGAAATGAATACATGGAAAGGAAGAGGAGGGGAAAAAAATTAAAGCTGGGAAAATCAGAAAAAGATAAATGGTAGCTGCCTTTCAACTTGAAAATGACTTAATTGTGGCAGATTTATAGATGCAACTGACAAATATAAGTGGCATAAGTAAATTCACTTAGTTTTGGATGTGGCTAGAATCTTGTTGGCTAAGCTTGCTGTATCATAGACTCTTAGAGTTAGACTAGAATTTTGCAATCATCTAAGCTTTATTTAAATTCCTTCTGTGATATACTAGCCACATGGCCATTTGGCCTCTAGTGAGTATAGATGCTGATGCTTTTCCGTCAGCTTGAGCTGTTTCGGTGTTCTTTATTTTATTGATTTACTATCTGCTCTACACTACCTTTTACTCACTTATTGTACATCTGCCTTCTGGAAGATCAGAACAAGTCTGTTTTATTTTCTGCATGATAGCCTTTCAAATGGTTGAGGATAGTTGTCTTGTTGCTAGCCAAGTAACTTTTTCTAGAAGGAAAGATTCACATAAATCCATCCTTGGTGGTTTGCAGACCTATCCCAGTACTGGTCATCTTATCTTTCAAAGTGTCATCCTCCAGATTGGCAGCAGTGCCACAGTTTAGCCAGCTAAGCTCAGGGTACAGATTTGGACAGCAGAAGATGGTATTAGCATTCTTAGCCTCCATATTTACTTCTTGTATTTGGTTCATAATTTCACTCAAGTCTCTTTCTAGCCGCATTTCCCACAGTCTCCACTACTGTATTTGATATTCTGGAAGAAACATGTAAAACTTCACTTTTTTTTCCCCTTAAATTTCATGCTTTTTTTTTTTTTTTTTTTTTTTTGTGGCTAATCTATTAAGTTAAAGTAGACACTAGGTTTCTGATGCCCAGCTCTGGAATCTATTATATTAGCATTCTTCCTATGCCTTGTGCCATCTATAAGTTTGTAAGTAAGTCTTTGGTGTATAAGTTGATACAAATGCCAAGAAAGTAAGAGCCACAGTTAGTACCTTAGGACCCACTGCTAGTAAGTAGTGACCTGTTTTTCAACAGAAGACTTCTTTTTTTTATATATAAATTTATTTATTTTTGACTGTGTTGGGTCTTTGTTGCTGCGTGCGGGCTTTCTCTAGTTGCGGGAGTGGGGACTATTCTTTGGTGTGTTGTGTGGGGTTCTCACTGCGGTGGCTTCTCTTGTTGCGGAGCACAGGCTCTAGGTGCGCGGGCTTCAGTAGTTGTGGCTCGCGGGCTCTAGAGTGCAGGCTCAGTATTTGTGGCGCACGGGCTTAGTTGCTCTGCGGCATGTGGGATCTTCCCAGACCAGGGCTCGAACCCCGGTCCCCTGCATTGGCAGGCAGATTCTTAACCACTGCGCCACCAGGGAGGCTCTCAACAGAAGACTTCTTAATAATGCTGAATGACTTAGCATCAAGTTGTTTAGTACTGAAATCTATCAATAAATAAATAGGCTTTTCTCCTTTGCTATAACATTTGTTGAAAAAAAAGCAACCAATAATACTTGAAAAGTTAGAGATTTTCCTTAATTTAACACTGATTTGTAAAAGAAAATTATAACCAACTCATTCTTTTATTTGGGTTCTCTTTCATTTTACTCTCATTCTTTCTCACTTTACCAATCCAGTTGAGCTGGATTGGTAAAGTGTCTCCCAACCTTTCTGTCTCAATGTTTCAAGATGGCAGCAGCATACCAGTGGTCTGCTGAGTAAGGAGAAAACATTGTGCGGAAAGCAGCACTCAAGCCTGATACATCGCCACGTGTCCTTAGCTATTTCATAATTCTCCAAGACTAAAATGGATTCGTAGAGTGTTGTTCATGATGTGATTATCAAGAAGAATTGGGACAGTTTCTATACACCCATGCCTTTTCTTTGACTTTAAATTGTTTGAATTTTACCTCTACTTTTTAATGGAACAAGTGACTACTGTAATCTTGTTTACTTACCTTATCATGGCAATATCAGCTTTTTTCTGGCCATTTGGTTTTATACACATATACTGAGTTCTACCTTAACAGCATTAATAATCATGGCTGACTTTTTATGTCAGTAAACAGTTTTTGTTGCCTGGCATGCAGAATGCCTGGCACTGCCTTATGATTTTTGAAGCCAAGGTTATTAATACTTTATTTCTGCCTTCATGGAGTTCAGATAGTAGAGAAGGATGGATGGACACACCAGTCAGGGCTCCATCATGTGCTATGGGCTATAATAGAGCTCTGCAAAGTTCTTCCCATGTGACATTCTCGCATTTGGTTATGAGGCACCCAGGGCAGCTGTGGTTTAGTTTACAGATGAGAAAACAGAGTCGGCTTGAGGCTAAGTGACCCGGCCAAAGTGACATGGCCATCAAGGTGCAGAAATGGGGTGAGGACACAGGTCTTTTGTGTCTCAAGTCCTTGGTCTTTCAATTTCCTCTATAAACATGGAGCTTGGAGTGCATCTCTTCTAGTTATCATTCAGTTTTTCTGTTAATCATCAACAGATCTTCCTTTTTTTTTTTTTTGGCCGCGCCGCCTGGCATATGGGATCTTAGTTCCCTGATCAGGGATTGAACCCGTGCCCCTGCAGTGGGAGCACAGAGTCTTAACCACTGGACTGCCAGGGAAGACCTGAATCGTCAATAGATCGTACACAACATTTGCTTTACTGTTTACTTCCTTTCAGTGTTTTGAATGGATTCAGTTGTTTAATTAGTTTCCTATAATAGGCTATTTTGGTCTTTTTGCTGAAAATAGTGTGCTTTAAAAAAAAATTTGTAAAAAACATGACTTTGATGTGCTGGCCTGGGGGGGTTAAACAAATTAATTTGAAGTTGATTAGTTCCTGATGTCCAGATGCTCTTTACTTCTTTGCCACACTCCCTGTCAGCTACAGCTGAGCAGAGAAAACAAGCCTTTTCATCAGTTAGGGTTGGACTCGGGTAGTGCTGAATTTAAGCCAAGAAACAGGGCTTTAATGGCCATCCCCAGCATCGACTTCCTTCTGTAACTTGATGGAAGTAAGTTATCTTTTCATGGCTTGCTCATCTCTGGAAAGGGAACAGTATTATCTTCCCCTAGTTAATCTGCAGGGAAGTTATAGAGGTTAATCACATGTGAAGTCATTTAAAAATTTTAATTGAGTATGTATGAAATGGATCTAAAATTTGATATCTTTATGGCTGGAGTTTATGGCAGTTGTCCAAGTTTCAGATAATGACTCTTAGCCCTGCGGTTTGGTTGTGATATAAGAGTTTCAGTAAGAGTTTTTAAACAGCTTAACAAAATGTAAAAGTTCTCATATTTTGTGATTTAAATACCATTTTTCTCTATTGTCTTAGAGGGAGAACTGGAAGAAGAGTGGCTTAAGGAGGCCGGTTTGTCCAATCTCTTTGGAGAGGCTGCTGGAGATCCCCAAGAAAGCATGGTGTTTTTATCAACACTGACCCGGATGCAGGCGGCAGCTGTTCAGAAACGAGTAGAGACTGTCTCCCAGACCTTGAGGAAAAAAAACAAACAGTACCAGGTTCCTGACGTCAGAGACATATTTGCTCAACAGAGAGGGTCAAAAGAAAGGGAGGTAGGTTTTCTTTTTTGATAAAGCAAAGGAATAATTGCTTAGAATCAGTTGAACCCATCCAGTTTAATTCAGATCATTAAAAACTTAATGGGCATGTATATGCAAGGCGCTAAAGCTCCGTGCTCTCCATGATCAAGAGAGACTTGACCCCTGTCCTTCTAGAAGTTATACTGATGGGGCAGAAAATGAAACAAGTTACATTTCTCTGTGACAGTCCCTGTGTTAGGTGTCCTTGGAGCTTTAGGAATGGCCCCAGCCCCCTAGACAATGTGACTGCTAATTGTTACTTACAGAAAAGTCAGAGGTAGAGGATTCTTCCTTCTATGTTAACTCTTTTAGGAAAATTTGCTTTTTTTCTAGACTCATGTGGGGATGAATGGAAGTGGAATGTGAGGGAGCTAATTGTAGCTGAATTATAAAACAGGAACCCTGAACATGAAATAACTTCCCCTTTGCATCTAGCACGGTGCCTAGCACATAGAAGATTTGAGTAGATATTTGCTAAGATGATGAATTTATTAGTGGCAGCTGTTGGAGTCTGGCAGAGACTCTGGGGCTGATGGCTATCAGGGAAGGCATGGTACCAGCAGGAGATCTGTATGGCGTAGAACAGTGCGGCTCAGTACAGCCTGTTGGTAGGCTGCTAGTGGCTTGTCCAGGAGGCCCTCAAGAGCTTGCACAAAATGTAAATTAATATCATCTGCTCCTTCAACAAGAAAGTCTTGCTACAAAGAGGAAAAAAAGGTCAGCTGAACTTAATGATGTTCTTAGGGTCAAAGTTGATTTATATTCTGGACTGTTCTCTGATGAAGTTGGAATAGCTCTGGTCTAGAAGACCCAGTTGGATGATTGGAGTGGGAACAAACAGAACGGATGTTGAACGATGATTGCAGTGATAATAATAGTAGTTATATTTGCTGCTGCCACTACTGAACACCTACTGTGCCGACTACTTTCCATGCGATATCCCATTTCATCCTTAGAGCTGTCCTGTGAGTGAGGTATCATTGTTTCCATTCTACAAGCTCATAGACTTTAAGTCACTTGCTCAGTGGTCCTGTAGATAGCAAACCCAGATTTGTCAGACTCTAAATAAGTGCTTTTAACCACTGTGCATCCTGCTACGTTTGGGTTTACATATATGATTCTGATATTAAGTAGTCTCAGTAAATACATGAGATGTATTTACACTATAAATAAAGGGTAACAAAAATCTTTTTAAAGAATGAGGGACTAAATGGACTTATATTTAAGGTGTCTTTCTGTCATATAGAGGTTTTTTGCTTTTTGTAGACATTTCATTCTTCCAAGAAATCCTTTATAGCTGCAGGTTCCTGCTCTATTTGCATGGTCAATTGTAGATCAAATCCAGTCCATTTTATAGGAGTTTTGGGGTGACTGGATTGCTCTAGGTAGGTCTCTGGCTGCTGTGAGGCAGGTATGTGCTTGCATACCACCCAGTTGTTATTTGGGACATCCACTGGGGTTGAAGGACTGGACTTGGTTTCTAGCTGTAGAAAAATGAATAGTAAGGAAATATAGTGTTATGACATTTCCTTCCCAATTAAAGAGCCCTCCCTGAGGGAGTTAAGAGGAAACAAAGGGGGGGGGGCAGAGAGCTGAGCCTAAGCAAACCATATACTGTGGGATTCCTGCCAGTCTCTAAGAGGATGTTGCTACTCAATGCTTCAAGCAACATTTTCCAGCAAATTCTTGGTAATGTCTAAACCACATGGTTTGAGTTCAAGGTAACTAGTGAGTTGTATCATCTGATGGAGTCAATAAGAGAGAAATAGCACAAGTAAATTAAAATAATGTTAACTTGCTTACACTTTATGCCTTTAATCGAAACACTGCCACCCATTAGAAATATGTCCCCCATCCCTCAAGCAAACATGGGCCAGCTATCTTTACTTGCAGTTCTTCTATTCTCACATAAGTACAGTGGTCCCTCCATATCCCTGGGTTCTGCACCTGTGGGTATGGAGGGCCGACTATACTGTGCCATTTTTTATAAGGGACTTGAGCATCCTCCAATGTTGATCCGCAAGGGCAGGGGTGGGGGGTGTCCTGGAACCAGTCTCTAACAGATACTGAGAGATGACTGTCCCTATTCAGCTGTTCCGTTTCAAATGCTTCCTCATGAAGCCCTTGCTGACACTGGGAAATATAATACAGAAATGAATATCATCTGCACTGTTATCTTCAATTGCTTAGGAAAACAATTCCAACCACATGCTCCAAAATATGTGTTCGTATGTAAGATTAGAATTACTCACTGTGTGCCCTGTGCCATGGAGTGCTGGCTTTCTGCAGGCTCGTGGGTGGAGGGAGGAGGATGGTGTTGCCCTGCCTGAGAGGGACTGAAGTGCCACGACTCTCCTACCACTTCTGTGATTGGTAGTCGCTCTATACTGACCTGGGTACCTCTAACCTCTAAGTAGAGCACCTCTGCGTACCTGCCCCGGTGCTTTTCTAGACTCTTCTTGGACTGCAGGTGGAGAGGGGAGTTCTCCTCTGCTAACACCTGAGTTGAAGCATGTGGGGAGGGGACTACAAAGGCTATCTTCTTTTGTACAGAGAGGAAAATCCAGTGGAATGAGTATTTTAAAGACAGTTCATTCAAACAGACCTCTGTGTATGATTGACCTAGACTCCCCTTCCTGATTCCTGAATTCCTCCTGAAGCCTTACTTGGAAAGGAGGAAGTACAGCCTGGACACACTTACTGGTGAGAGGAGCCAGCTGTGCTTTCCTGTGTCCATAAACCCTTGGAGGGCTGCATTCTTCAGGTGTCACTTCCCCAACCCCTCGAAAAAGGAGTTCCTTTGAATATCTAAGCTCTTACTACCTGCTTGGTAACTTAGTTTTAGTTGATCTCACATTTATTACTAGCTTTTAAAAAAACTATGAAGAATTCTATTTTATTACCTACACGTCAACTTATAATTTTATTTTATAACAGCGTTATTGAGAGAGAATTTACCAAGTCGCCCACTTAAAGTTTACAATCCAGAGGTTTTTTGTGTAGTCACAGATTCGCAACCATCCTCACAATGCATTTTAGCACCATTTCATCATCTCCAAAAGAAAACCCATACCCATTAGCAGTCATTCCTCATATTCCTCTCCTTATCCCCTAGGCAACCACTAATTTACTTTCTGTCTCTATGACTTTCCTATTCGGAAGAGTTCGTAGAAATGAAATCACACAATATGTGGTCCTTGTGACTGATTCCTTTCACTTAGTATAATGTTTTCAAGGTTCATCCCTGTTGTAGCATGTACCTGTACTTTGTTTCCTTTTATTGCAGCATAATATTTCACTATGTGTGTAGCTCACATTTTGTTTATCTACTTATCTGTTAATGGGTATTGTTAACTTTTTGAGATGTTTTCTTTTCCTTTCAATTTATAGCGGTGTTCTTGATGGCAGGGACACTCTTGGTGTTGCCCTTATTCCCCACAGGGCTTAGTAGTGTGTCTTACAAGTTGTGGGTGATCACATGTTTATTGGATGATTGCTTGTTGATTATACCTGTAGTCCTTTTTTTCTGTGATTGATATAATTCTGAGTGCATTTCTTGTACTCTGAAGGTTAGTAATAGAGTTATTTCACAGTACCGTTTCTCTGGTTGTGAGGTAGAGATGACTAAATGGCCCATGTTCTATCTTTAGCCTCCAGATGGTGCAGAATCACAATCAGTCAGAACAGACGAAAACAAATACCAAGGAAAAGATGGTAAGTTGGACCCGTTCTCTTGTATTTTCTCATTTATTAGTATAACAAACAGATAAGACCTTTTAAAACATTCATCCTCAATTCTGATAAGCAAATTCTATTCAAATACTCATATAAAGTACCCAAATAGATGATTACATAAGACTGAGCATATAGTTGGCCTTTGATTTTTTTTTAAATACTTGTCTGTCTCTATCTGTTCTAACACCTCTGTACATAGTCAGTTTTCCCAAATGCTTACCATGTGCCAGGTACTATGCAGAGATATTTACCTAATTTAATATACTCAGGAGCTCTATGTAGTAAATATTCTTAACCCATTCTACAAATGAGAGAAGTGAGGTTTACAGATGTAAAGTTACTTTCCCAAGGCCACACAGCTAGTAAGGGGAGCCAGTGAATTTGGAACCTCATTTTCAGATCTGAAGTTCTTAACTCATAAATGGATTGCTTTTCAGAAAGTTTAGAAAAACTTTTTTTTTTTAAGTTAAGATTTTTTTGGGGGGGGGCATTGATTACAACTCTCCTTTTCATTCCTTTTTCTGTATCTGTTATTTCAGAAATGGATTAGAAATTCAAGGCATGGATGAAAATAAATAGTAAGACTTTATTAGTACTTACCAAGAAAGAATTTAAAGCTATTTCATGGATTTACAAAAAGGGAAAATTTCTAAATTAAGGTCACAGATTTAATCCTCAGTGTGCTGTTACTTAAAAACTATAGCAAAGGTTGTTGGTGGCTGCCTGAGTCCCGCTTGGGACTTTTCTTTTGTTTATGTCCTTAAGACCTGGCACCTGGAGTGTTCATGGCATTACTTGTGTTATGTTTGGATTGGCAGTAGTGGAGGAAGAGTATCAGGTGGACTGTGGAGGCCTGGGAAGTGTTCCCAACCTTCCTATAAAAATGAAAGGTTAGTCCAAAATTACTGTATATGGGACATTTTGGAGTCTTGGAGCATCTAGTATCTTTATCCTTCCTTCCATACTTTTCTCAGAACTTCTCTCCTGCACCCCTGCCTTAAAATGTATACACACACACGTATGTGCGTATATAAGTGTGTGCGTGCGTGTGTATAGACACATACGTGTCTATATATTTATGTCTATAAAAGCACTTGCTTTTTACTGTTCTGTGGAGATTTCTTTAGTTACATGTTTTATATCAGAATGAAATTACTGGGTGTTTCCCTAAGTCTGTGTGCCAGTAGACACTGAAGTGGCAAGCAGGCTGGAATAGCCAGTGCAGGCGGGCTAGAGAGCTGTGTCGTTAAGAGAGACAGATGAACCTTTTGTGCCAATATCAATATGCTTTGGGCTTTGGGGAAGAGCGACTGGCAATTGCTAAATGAATACTGAGGAAAACATTGTCCTTTCTTGGTGTTTTCCTCCTTTGCCAGAGATGGTGATGTAGGCTATATAAACAGAAGTTCTGGAAGACAAGTTCATTATAGCAGTCCCTTCCAGCCTAGCTTGCAGCAGCCGAGTGGAATGTGACAAACTTGCTGCCTGATTTACATCTGCTTTTGCTGGAATGCTATGAAGTGGGCATAGAGCCTCCAGTCAGAATAATAAGAGAATGTGTATAATGCCATCCAAGTCACTGAGTATTTACTACTGCACCTGTTCTGGGCAATGCCATGCTCTTTTGCTAGCCAGTGAATTAACCAGTGTTATGCAAACATTGAAAGGTTCTGAATGAAATGCGTGGAAAATATTGTCTGGAGTTCAAAAGTGGAGCTCTTTCCATTTGAAATCTGTAAGTGTGAGCTACGTGGTCTATTTTAAACGTTTTCGCTACACTTAGGCTTCTATGCATGTTCAATCAAAGTTACTTACTCTAAATGAAAAATAAAATTTTAATGTTGCAAGCATTGTTGCATTTCAAATTAATTAATCTACTGCTAAGTATCAATCTTAACTTTTCATCAAATTATACAACTCTGTGTATATGAAAGGCCAGTGTTTAATACATACATTTAGAAATACTAATAACGCCCAAATAATTTTTAAAACTTTTGTGTTATGTATGTTTTCTTTTCCGAGTTCCAAGGAGGAGGGGAAATTACTTTTTAAAATAAAGATATGGATTATTTTGGACAATTGAAAAACTTTGAGTTTTGTAAAATATTTGTAACTCAGTGCTATTATCCACTTAAAAACCAAAGGAGAATAGATTAAAATAAATTATATTATTTACACTTTTGGGCTTTAAGAGCCAAAAGGTTTATCTCAGCGTTCTCTGTTAACGTTTCTCTTTGAGAGTAGATAATTGATCCATAGATACTTTTATTAATCGGTTAACTATTTCTTTTAGCAGTGCTCCTTTATCACCCCTGAAACTGTTTTTCCTGCTATCTGCCTTAACTGGAGTTACCATTTGATCCTTAAGCCTTTTCTATATTGTGTTTTTTATTTTTGCCAATTTTTGGAGGAAATTCATATGTTTAAAATGTATTCTAACTTAATTATAATTCTTCTCCTCAGTTTTGAATTCAGCACAGAACATTTGTTTGTGTGTGTGGGGAGGTGGTGTTTATTGTGGCTCTGACATGGGGCTGCTCAGGAGAAAAGGGAGTCCTTTTAACATTCTTGTCCATAAACACTCAGCTTTTAGAAAGGTAGCTTTTTTTTTTTTTTTTTTTTTTCCCTTGCGTTATGCGGGCCTCTCACTGTTGTGGCCTCTCCCATTTGCGGAGCACAGGCTCCGGACGCGCAGGCTCAGCGGCCATGGCTCACGGGCCCAGCCGCTCCGCGGCATGTGGGATCTTCCCGAAACGGGGCACGAACCCGCGTCTCCTGCATCGGCAGGCGGACTCTCAAGCACTGCGCCACCAGGGAAGCCCAGAAAGGTAGCTTTTAATTTAAGAAAATGGCTAATCAGTTTTTTCCTCTTAGAATGGTTTCCTAGGAAACCAACATACATATTCACAGTAAAACATAAAGCAGTGTAAACCGGTGGGAATGTAAAACTCAAATTGTGCTTTGACATTTAAGTTAATACTTTAAAAATTAATCGGAGAGAGGTCTAGTTATCCTAATTAAAAAAAAAAAATTGTCACAGGCTGTTGGAAAAGCATAATGTGGCATAGATGGCAGCAGATAAATACAATCAAAGCGCTTTAAATTTTCTCTTATTTTTGGAAGTTACATGGGGCCATTTTACACTTTCTTAACTGTGAGATGTGACCAGGGCCAGCTATGTAATTTGCAAGGCCCAGTGAAAACTGAAAATGTGGGCTTCTTGTTCAAATTGCGAGACAGCAACAGTAGAACATCAAACCCAGCTTGGGGCCCCGCTGAGCACTACCTAAGTCCTACAACCACGAAGCCCGCACTGCTTATTGAATGAGAGTGAAAAAGGCTAGATTTAGATTTATCCGTATTTTCTTTTGAGTAAAACAATTTTTCTGTGTGTTTTTGATTTAAATGACTGTAAGTATAGAAAATATATAGAATATAATACAAATACATTTTCTGAAGGCACCAGACTTTTAATAATATACATATATATGACATATTTATTAAATTTTAAAATTAACTTTACCCTCCATCACCTTGCTGTGTTAGTATATAAGCATTTGAATGTACTATGTAAGCTTACTGATGTAATCCAGAGCTGCCCACCATAAATTAAAGGTCTGCAATGAGAAAATAACAGTAATCCTGTCATTGATTCCAGGTTTTTTTCTAGTGTGAGTTGTGTTAAAAACCAAAAACTTAGCAAATAGCCAAATTTAGAAGTATTTTCTTCCAAGCTTAAAGCTGACGTTTTCAGCAAATAAGTTTTTAGGTGTTAATTTTTTTCCTGGAGGATTAACAACAAACAAACCAAGAAAAAAATGTTAAATTTATTATAAACTGTTGATGTAAATACATGGAACTTATTTCATTAGATTTATAGTTGTAAGGGAGCTGTTATAATCTTTGTAATAATCTGTTGGTTCTGGTGCCAGGTACCTCCAGACCTGACTCCCACAGTGCACGTTGTTGGTGCTAACTTTTGTTTTGGAATTTTTACTATGATAGGTAGGTAACATTCCAGAAAGGACATGCAGGGCATGGAAGAAATCTTTTTCAGGGATCTGTTCCACTGTAAGGAAATTAAATGGTATATCATAGTTTTAAGAGAGAGTAAAGCTAACCTCCTCCTCTCCTTTTTTTGCTTTTACTCTCCCAGTATAAAATAAAGCAATGATTAAGTCTACTAAATTTTTGTGAGGTTTTTCATTCAGAGCTTGAGATCACCCATCAATGTTTTGGAACTGGACTCAGTCTAAGAATTGTGACCTCAGAGAAAGATTCCACAATTCAACTCTGGCTTTCTAGTCACCACCTTCCCTCCTCTACACCCCCATGCACCATTGGTAGAATTCCTTGAGTATACTTTTTACTATTAAAATAACCGTTAATTATTGCTTATAGTAAATAGTACTTTTCCCAAAGGTTTATATGGTTGATGTATTAGAAGTTAAAAAAAGAAGTAGCCAAAGCACTTGAATCTTTTGTCTTTTTCCCAGATCAGGCATCTAGCCTAGTTGTTGGCGAAAAGGAGCTGACTCCAGGGGTGCCTGAAGAGGCATCTGCCTCTGAAACAGACATCAACCTGGAGGTATCATTTGCAGAGCAAGCTGTCAATCAGAAAGAGAGCTCCAGAGAGAAAATCCAGAGGAGCAAAGGGGACGATGCCCTGTTACCTGTACGTAATGCACTACTCGGATGTCATTATCAGAGTATATTGTTCATCAGCTTTTTATTTGGAAAATTTTAGGTCCTTAGAAAAGTTGAAAGAATACTATAGCATACACTCCTACAGCCTTCCTGTAGATCCATTTAACATTGTACAACCTTTACTTTTTTTTTTACATCTATCTATCTATCTATGTATAGGTTATACTATAGACATATACTCCCTTTTTCTTTAGCTTAACAAGAGCATACAAAACAAAACACAGTTATAATGCTTAAGAACTTGAACATTAAAACAATAATTATATTTTAATATATGATCATATTAAAATGTTCCCAATTGTCACAATATTGTCCTTAATATCAATAGCTTCTCCCTTACTCGCACCTGGGATTCAAACGAGGGTCATGTGTTGCATTTAATGTCATATTTTTTTGGTTTCTTAAATCTAGATCAGGTCCCTTGATTTTTCTTTAATATTTTGAAGAGTCCAAATCAAATTTCTGATTTTGTCTGTTCTTGGTGACTGAATTCACATTAAACATTTTTGGTCACACTACTGCCTAGATGATGTTTATACCTCTCATTGCATCGTCAGAAGAGGGGCATGACATCAGATGGTCCCTTTACCGGAGATGGAATTTTGACCACTTGGTTAAGGAGACGTTCACCGGATCTCCCCATCATAAAGATACCTTTTCCTATGTACAATTAATACTAATTTGCGATCCTTGAGACTGAGGGAATATCCTATCTCCCAGTAGTAACCTACCGCCCAGTGGCTTCACCATGCGTTTGTAATCCTTGCCTGAAACAATAATTAGACTAGTGTTTGAGAAATGGTGAATTTCTCATTCTGTTATTTCTTCTATATTGATTGGCTGGCAATCTTCCATAATAGTGCTTTTCCTCCCTTTTCTCTTTTTGTTTTTGAATATCACTATTCAAAAACTTCCTTTTTTTGTTCATTGTTTTATAACTCATTATTGTTTTTCTTTGATGTTTAAATTTACCCAGATTTGACAAAAGGGAGCCCTTCAAGCTGGTTCCTATGCCATTTTAACATGTCCTCATTCTTTTACTCCTTTGCTTTCTAGTACAAGATGTTCCAGGCTCACCTTGTACTTTTCTCCCCTCAGATTAGAAGGAATCTGTTTCTTCAAGGAGTCCTTGTTTTTTCAGTAGCAGATTGTGTTTAGAAACCAACCTCTGTGTACTGAGTGTTCTCATTGCTACCGAATGTCTTATATTTTTAAAAAATACATTTACTGGTATAGATGAACCGGTTTGCAGGGCAGAAATTGAGACACAGATGTAGAGAACAAACGTATGGACACCATGGGGGAAAGCGGCGGGGGTGGTGGTGGTGGGGGGGTGATGAATTGGGAGATTGGGATTGACATGTATACACTGATGTGTATTAAATGGATGACTAATAAGAAAAAAAAATACATTTACTTATTTTGTAGGATTTCACCACACAGAAGTTAAAAAGCATAGTATAATGAACTTCCCAATACTCACCACCTAGCCTCAACATTTATTTTCCCATGACTAGTCCTGTCCTATACATACCCCCAACCAGTTCCCTACTCTGTGTTATTTTGAAACACATATATTTTGCCATCTATAAATATTTCAGTATGTATTTCAAAAAGATAAAGAGGGTTTTTTAAAAAACACATATCCAGGGCTTACCTGGTGGCGCAGTGGTTAAGAATCCGCCTGCAAACGCAGGGGACACGGGTTCAAGCCCTGATCTGGGAAGATCCTACATGCCACGGAGCAGCTAAGCCTGTGCGCCACAACTACTGAGCCTGTGCTCTAGAGCCTGCGAGCCACAGCTACTGAGCCCGTGTGCCACAACTACTGAAGCCAGCATGCCTAGAGCCCGTGCTCCTCAACAATAGAAGTCACCGCAATGAGAAGCCCGTGCCCCGCAATGAAGAGTAGCCCCCGCTCGCCGCAACTAGAGAGAGCCCGCGCGCAGCAACAAAGAAAGACCCAATGCAGCCAAAAATAAATAAACAAAATAAATGGGAAAAAACCCCCAAAATACATATCCATATTACTATTATTGTACCTTAAAAATTGCTAATAATTCTTAATTTCAAATATCTAATCAGTGTTCAAATTTCAAATTGAATCACAAATTTCATGATTTTTTTTTTTTTTTTTTTTTTTTTTTTTTTTTTTTTTTTTTTTTTTTTTTTTTTTTTTTTTTTTTTTTTTTTTTTTTTTTTTTTTACAGTTTGTTTGAATCAGGATCCAGATAAAGTTCATACATTGCAGTTGGTTGATAATGCCTTTCAAGACTCGTAATCCCTTCCTCCCTCCCTCCTTCTGTCTCTCTGTGTGTGTCTCTCTTTCTCTGCCTCCTCCCCTTCCCTCTCTCCCTTATTTCATTACTCTCCCTCTTTTTCCTTATCCTTTCTTCCATTCCTCCCTTTCTCCCTCCCTCAAAATTTGTCTGTTGAAGAAACCTGGTTATTAAGTTTCTTGTTCTGTCCCCATGTTCTTCTGCTTCTCGTAAATTGGTTGACTCTAGATTCATCAGACTCAGGCTCATTTTTTGGTCAAGACTACTCATATGTGATCATGTATCAAGAGATTAAAAATACCTGGTTGTCTTTTGTGAAATTAGCAGCTGCTGCTGATCAATGCTTGGATCCTTTTGTTTATTGATGGTTACAAAATGATGTTCTAATTTCTTTTTTTCCTTTATTAATTTGAATACTTCTGTTAAGAAAAATGTTCTCAAATGGGTTACTTCTTACTTTCATTTACCAGTTTTCCATTTATTTTTTTGTTCCCTAGCATCTTTCATCAGTGGCCAATTAGTGTTGCTTCATTTTAATTTTCTTATAAAAATAGTATCTTAACTCATGGATGTAGACATATATGACATGACCCTAGAGAAAATTTCTCATATGTTTCTGGTATATTTTCTGCTTCAGACTTAGAATTGTCTATTTCTGCAAGAAACTCTGATTCCATTTAGTAGAAATATACTTTTGTGACTATGTTCAAGACACTAGGAATGTTCCTTTCTCTGAGTTGGTCATTGCTTAAAGCCTTTTCAGAGGACAGAAGTACATCTGTGTCTTCTTTCTTCCATGCTGAGAACAGTGGTTTTCAGGATACAGCAGATAATACAATTAGAATATCACATAATTATTTATGTGTTTTATCCTCTGTTAATGCACAGCATATCAACAATGTGATTACTAAAAAACAGCTTAAACTTGTTTTTCTTTTCCTCAGTTGGTTGTATCCTTGGGATACATCCCAAAAGGACTGTAATAATCAAATCACTCTGCTTTAGGTTGCTTAGGATAGTGATTCTCCATATGGTTATGCCACCAACCGCATACCTGGTTGGGTTAATTAGTTTCATTTCATATTCAGTGTTTAGGGATTGCTGTTTTGAAACTTAATTTTATTTTGTAAACATGTAAATTATTTAAGTGGTCCAAAAGTCAGAATTAAAAACAAGGTGTATAAGAAGTCTCACTTCTGTACTTGAGCCATCACCCTCTTCTCTCCCTGCCCTTTACAGGTAAATTTACCTTACAGGTAAATTTCTTTTAATTTTATGGTTTATCCTTTCATTCTTAGATAAATGGTAGCCCACTATACACACTTCATTATTTATTTATTTATATTTGACTTAGCAGTATGTCTTGGAGATCACTCCATAGTAGTAGAGAGAAATATTTCTTATTCTTTTTTGTTTATACATTGTACCCCGCTGTGAGGATGTATCACAATTTATTTAACCAGCCACCTGATGGTGGACATCTAGGTTGTTTCCAGGCTTTATCATATATTTTTACGAATCTATTTTTACGCCTAGTGGGAAAAGTAAAGGAGTATGCATGCATCATGTGGCCTAAAGAGATGATCCAGGCTCCAGACCATCCTTAGCAAAAGTATCTTTTAAAAGTGATGGTTTTCTGGGCTTCCCTGGTGGCGCAGTGGTTGAGAGTCCGCCTGCCAATGCAGGGGACACGGGTTTGTGCCCCGGTCCGGGAAGATCCCACGTGCCGAGGAGAGGCTGGGCCTGTGAGCCGTGGCCACTGAGCCTGCGCGTCCAGAGCCTGTGCTCCGCAACGGGAGAGGCCACAGCAGTGAGAGGCCCGCGTACCGCAAAAAAAAAAAAGTGATGGTCTAATATATCTCAACAGGTGGAAGGGGGTTTAAGTGAAGGATGGTACAGTCTAATTAAACAAGATGAAGACTCTGTTGACTTCTAAGTTGTTGATTCGAACAGTGGAATAAACTAGGAATTTAGTTCAGAAACTTAAAGACAAAACTTCCTCTCTCATTTTCTTCTCTAACAAACTAATTTTTGCTCACCTGCTTTCTAGATTTTATTCACATTGTGCCCCAAGCTTAAAATGACCTTCCCATTTCTACCCCTCTGTTGTTCCGTGCTTATCAAGGAAGCCTTATCCCATCCTTTGGGGTCTAGCTCAGTATCTAGCTTTACTGTTAGTGCTTTCCTGTTTGTGAACTTACATTAAATAAAATTTATAAAATCATTCTTTAAACTGTTAAGGTGTCATGCTTTTGATAATTAGTGTCAATGTATCCATGTATTTATTTATTTTAATTTTTAAAAATTTAACTTTTATTTATTTATTTTTGGCTGTGTTGGGTCTTCGTTGCTGTGTGCGGACTTTCTCTAGTTGTGGCAAGCGGGGGCTACTCTTCGTTGTGGTGTGCAGGCTTCTCATTGCGGTGGCTTCTCTTGTTGCGGAGCACAGGCTCTAGGCGTGCAGGCTTTAGTAGTTGTGGCGCGCCGGCTCAGTAGTTGTGGTGCATGGGCTTAGTTGCTCTGCGGCATGTGGGATCTTCCCGGACCAGGGCTCGAACCCATGTCCCCTGCATTGGCAAGTGGATTCTTAACCACTGCACCACCAGGGAAGCCCCTCCATGTATTTATTTATGCATATATGCTTCAGTTCATCTATACAACCATTTATTTATTTGTATATCTTCTAGAA